CGAAAATGAGTAATTGATTAATAAAAAAAATATGAAAATGACTTTATGCTGAATTTTTAGGTTATATTTTTCATATTTTTTATTAATCAATTACTCATTTTCGGGATTTATCGAAAAAAATAAAAATTTTAAAAAATTGTTGAAATTGTTGAATTTAAGGTTACTATATTTATTTGCGAATTTTTGGCGTTAATTTTTTTTCTTCTTCATATTTTTCCTGTTTTTTATTAGTCAATTACTCATTTTCGGGATTTACCCAAAAAAATTGTTGAAAACGGGTCGGGTAGTTTATTTAAAAGGGGGTATATCTAGACCTTTTTGAATAGTTTAGGGGTATATTTGACCCCTTTCCCTTTAATATAAATGACACGTGGTAATGTAAAAATGACGTGGCAATTCCATTTGACATTTAACACCCATAAGGACATATTTAGATACAACAACAACAACAACAACAACAACAACAACAACAACAACAACAACAACAACAACAACAACAACAACAACAACAACAACAACAACAACAACAACAACAACAACAACAACAACAACAACAACAACAACAACAACAACAACAACAACAACAACAACAACAACAACAACAACAACAACAACAACAACAACAACAACAACAACAACAACAACAACAACAACAACAACAACAACAACAACAATAATAATAATAATAACAATAAGTATGATTTGATGAGTCTCTTTTTATTTTTGACTAAAATATCTTACATAATTTGATTCTCCTCAACTTCTTAGCTTTAATAATTTGATTCTCTTCAACTTTCCTTTCCAAAGGCCCCTTATTTAAAGTCACATCGAAGAGCACTAAATTTAAAAATCTCATTTGAACATTTGCTCAAATATGCTAATTTCTCTCTGATTAAGAACCATATTATCATATCTCTTTCTTTATTTTTTTTTCTTTTTTGGTTCCCTTTTAAGTAGATCTTGTAGGTACAGAAGAAAAAGAACCATTGGTTATTTTAGAATTGTTAGGGATAGTAGCATTAATGTTGCTTTTGGATCGAAGACGTCATAATATGTGATAATATTGATATTGATAGATAGAGAATGAATGTTTGGAGGGAAATAAATTTTTATTACTATGTATGAATTAAAATGAAATAACAAATATATATATAATAATTTTTTATCACTATGGATTAAAGGTGCGGATGAATGGTTTAAAGAGAGGCCAAAAATATTGAAAGAAGTGTAAGCTCCACACAGGGAGTCGCCTAATCAAAAGGGTGGATTGGTCAAATAGCATGACCTCGCCCAAAGTGATAGTGTTCATAACTGAAAAATAATCAAGGCAGGTCGGCGAACCAAAAGTGAATAAACAATTCACCAAAAATGAAAGGCAAATGAGATAACTTGGATGAAAAATTAAGGCATAAAAGTCAAACAAAGATGGTAATCGGCGATCCGCCAAATGTGAAAGGTAGATTCGAACAAGTTTTCCAACTGAGGTTCAAACACCTGAAGCTTGAAGTAAATGAAAGGCGAGCTGAGGAACAGACGATGATTCACCAATCAGGCTCGGCGAGTTCAACTAATGTCGCCGAGTTGGTCATGTAGTGGATTTTGGGCCAAATTTTGAAAAACTATAAATATCCCAAAGAAAAGAGCTTTAAGAGAGTTTTTGTGAGACAGGGTTGGAATATAGTACTTTTTGAGAGTTTTGTGTATGAGATATTTCACCTTGTGAAGAACATCTATAGTTTGAGATTTTCAGTTTCACTCTTGCAATTGACAATTGAAAGTTGAAATCAAAGTGAATGTTTATTATAATTGCTTAATTTTATCACATCCATGACTTATATCATGATAGATGTAAATTCTTTACTTTTTGTTATGGGTGGCTAAAACTCCAAGTCGTGGTGCACTTATGAGATTGAGTGTTGATTTACTGTAGTGGATATTCTGTTTTGCTCTGTTCTGTTGTGTTTTATTCATGGATTTAGGCTAATTAGCATGAGGTTAAATTATTGATTAAGGTTGTAAATTTAATTATATTTTCGATCTTCGATTGATGCTCGAAAAAGATCAATTGGAGTGGGTAATTAGTTTGATGCATACAATTTAGGTCTGATTTCTATTGTTTGCTTGAAAGAGGGATTATGGTTCAGATCTATTTGCCTCAAATCTACTCGAAAGAGAGATATTGCAAGGTAATGAGTTGTTTTGTTCTTCACATAGATGAGACCAAAAGGAGATTCTATGAACTGATGTTATGAGATCGAAAGAAGACTAGTATCATTGAAGATGACCCAATCTATCTATGATTGTTTAGCAATAGTTTCATTGAAGATGACCCAACCTATCTATGATTGCTTAGCACTATTGAGCAATACAATTACCCCTATGTGACATCGATTCCAATCCCCGCACTCCTAGATCACTTGTTAATTACATTTTTTCTGAAGTTTAGTTTAATTGTGGCATTTGATACTGTAAACTCTTTTAGTAAATTTGATGGAATCTTCCACCCATTTGACTTAACCTACTACAATGACCAAGTCAACATTCTTAATTTCTTAGCTGAATTCATCAATATACCATTCCTTGTGGGATTTGATCCTGACTCTTA